AGGCATAGGAGTAAGATCGGATTGATGCATTTCGTTTAAATTTTGAATTCCATTAAAAGATGCATACTGAATAAAACGTGGTCGAGGTTTATGAATCAAATACAATATCTGTTTTTCAAGCCATTCTTTTATATCGTTTAATGAAAAATTATAACCAGCCTTTTTACAAGCATTATGCATTTTTTCAACAGTTCGATAGTACCCATCAGGTCGGTAATATAATTTTTGTAGAATAATTTCACGATCAAGATCATGAGCTCTTTGTGAGTCAATATAAATTACAGCTTCAATCATAACTTTTATTATTATAGTGAATAAAAAACTTGGAATATTTTTTCGAACATAAATAACTCCCAAGTTAAAATAGATGTTCACCTAACCCACGTATTCCGCAAATGCTCACCTTTTTTACCTATGTCCCATGTGCGTCTCAATACCATGAACCACATAACCGCGATAATCAACAAAATAAGAAAAATATATGCTGATAGCGGTGACATCAAAGTGCTTGCCACAGCAGAAAGAGGCAAAGCCTCGGGACCAGGCCCCATCTGGGTATTCGATTCAATCAAAGAGGACACATTATTTTCCGGCTGTGCAAGGTAAGTAGTCATATTCGGTATTTCTTGGAGTATATTGTTGTTAGTTTCGCTAATATCGATTTCATCAATTACCTTGGGAATAATCTCGGTATCATTTTTTGATAATTCGGTAATCTCACCATCGATTTTTTCTATTGGATCCATATTTTTTCCACATATAAAATATTTACTGAGATCAGTACTACCCAAAGATATATTATCAGACTTAGTAATATTTTTTCCGTCATCTCCACCAACTATGGGTTTCGATATAGCCTCTGATTTCAGATGCTCGAGTTCATTGACCTTCGATTCCAATGAGCTCTTTATATGATCTAATTCAGCTATTTTAGATTTGAGAGATAAATTTTCGGATTCTTTTTTCGATGAGTCATTTTGAATAGAAATTACATCTCCCTGAGCTGAAGTCAACTTACCTTCCAATATCTCAATCATAGACTCAAGCGATCTAATTTTCTTAGATTTTATATCATTCTCAGATTTAAAATTAGCAAGAGAAATAGCTTTTCTAGCATTTTCAAACTGCAGGTTTTGATTCTCAGTAACAATCCCTCCTAGTTTTTTACTCCACTTCTTTCTATCCCGATCCCACCCCTTTCTTTTTTGATCAAAATTCTCCTCTTGCTTTATGTATTTATCCCGTAACTCACTGTTATATTTATGTAATTTAGAAGAAGATTGGAGGATACGATGTATTTCTTCCTCAAGATCTTTAACATATGTCATATCAAATAATAGATAATATAATAAAAAAATCAATTAAATCACAAACTTCCGTTATCCACCTTTCTACCAAAACACAAAAAATGGTAAGTTTTTATTGCACTGCTTGTGGTCATACTAATCGAATGTTGACTGAAGATATTAATCAAATACTAATAAAAAAGAATAAATCGAATAAAGATTAGATATTAATCGATATATCTAAATCGAATATTCACCGAAATAGAATTGGATGTTAACCGAATGAAGATTAAATATTAACCAATATATCTAAATCGAATATTTACCAAAATAGAATTAGATGTTAACCGAATGAAGATTAAATATTAACCAATATATCTAAATCGAATATTTACCAAAATAGAATTAGATGTTAACCGAATGATCTAGATATATCGAAACAAAATTGGATATTTATCGAACAGTCTAGATATGTATCAAAACTAGATTGAAAAACTTTCGAATTTATATCTAAATATTTTTTTTATTTTTTATAAATAGATCATGACACAAAACTCTGAAAAAATAATTCGATATCTGCGATCTGATGCGACTCCTTTATCAGATGATAATATACAAGATATCATTAATGCCAGAAATTCGATGAAACGTGCATCAGAAGCTATGGCTATCAAATATAAAATATCAACAAGGCGTGTATATCAAATATGGAGGGAAAATCATCCTCCAATAGATCCTAGGGAAGTGATGTCGCAATCAAATATTGGCGGAGACAATACAATTAATAAAACTGATATGAGCATGAAAACTCGATCCATAAATCACATTACACATTCTGTAGAAACTCCTATTGTTACTTCGGATATACAGATAAAGAGGAAAAAACTGAGATCTAAGACTAATCGAATTTTTGACCCATCTAATACTGCTGAAATTATAACAAAAAAAGATGACCTATATACTTTAATTGAACGTAATCGTAAAGAAACAGAAGAAGCTGAGCGTGAAACAGAAAGGATTTTAGCCACGAAGTGACTGCTCCAGCAAATTCCAACTAATCTATCTTTGCTTTCTCTATATCGATATTGGTAATCTTTTCATTTAAGTTATCAGATTCTTTTTTATAGCCACTGTGTGACTGCCTTCTGCAAACCCGCAACTTTTTATTGAGTTTGATTAATTTAACATTGGAATCGAGTACTGCATATAGCGATTTTTCTAATTCCTCATAGCTCATGCGTTTTTTTTTTTAACTCTGTATCCGTCTCTTTGGAAATAGAAATTGCATTAACGTGATGTACCTCAATCTTATTTTCAACTCTATGCATAGAAACTGGAATGTAAAAATCCTTCCCGTTGCAATTGATCCTCAGTTGATCCTTATCTCCTAGTATTTGATATTTGTGACGGTAAAGGAAGGGATTACTCAATATAACCATAGACTTGTCATATTCAATGACTGCAAAATCTAAATGAAATACACAACCAGGAGCTAGGGTTAATGGTACGTTATAAACCATTCCAATAGATTTGGTTAGGACAGTGGCCGCCCCCTTGAAATAAAACACCGCACTTTTATCGATTTTTAAACCCAAGCGTTCAGCAATGTCCTTAGACATAAGTAAAGTATTAGCGCCGGGATCGACTGTAATTGCCGAAAGTACTAGATGTTTGATCTTACCCCGAACAGTTGGAACATCTATCACGTCTTTATCCCAAACAAAGTTAATTTCCATATCTTCGATTATTTCTTCATCCTCAGTCTCGCCTTGTTGGAGTGTATCATTTGCGGTACTAGGTTTCTGAAAATTTCGTAAGATTTTATTTATAGTCTCCTCTAATAAAGTGGAATTTACAAGCTCACTTTGAATGATTTCACGAATTCGTTGTTCTAGTAAAGTTGAGGTTGGATTCCTCCTATCATCTGTAGAATATATATCTTTCTTAGGTCGCTCTATTTTTTTTTAATTCTGTCTACATCAACATTGGAATCTCCATCGGATATATTATCCTCTTCTTGATTGGAAATAGCGGATTCGTCAGGAATTTCTTCTGTATCAGAGTGGCTTTGTTGGAACCCATCAGCAAAATTCACACGACCGATTTTTTCTTGGAATTATTAGCTATCATATTCTTAATTATGGAACAGCTACGGTAAGTATGTCCCGGCTTTTTGCAAATCTCACATTTGCGCTGGATCGGCCTAGTACTTACTCTAGGACTTCTAGCCAGATTTATTGATGAATTCGGGGTGGTAGACAACCCTTCAAGCTGATCTATTTTATTCGCAACATTGACTATCGCGTAATCAATTTCCATTGGTTCGAATACTCTATTATCTTCCGCCTCAAGACCCATATCTGCATAATTCCTTAACTCTTCATAATACTTGGCCTTTTCAGTTCTAGGACGAAAATTTCATTGATAATCATATACTGGAGGCGTTTTTTGAACAAATTGCGAGGGTGGTTGAACGATTTGTTGAGATGGTTGGAATACAGGTTGTTGTACAATTTGCTGAGGTGGTTGAACGATTTGTTGAGATGGTTGGAATACAGGTTGTTGTACAATTTGCTGAGGCGGTTGGAATGCGGGTTGTTGTATGATTTGTTGGGGTATCTGAGACATCATCCCATTCATATTATTCGCACTTCCATAATTAAACAAAGAAGGCCTACGTTTAAGCCACAAATTTTTGAGATGAGTAAAGAATGCATTAATATCCGTGGGATTTGCACGTTCCATCCGGGTGAAAAGTTCATTTGGTAAATGATCCATAATAAATGACAAGGCATTCGCATCGTTGTTAGCAACACCCAATATTA